TTTAGTTACCGTAGGCACAGGGGAGACCTCATCACCGTCTACCAGATCTTAAATGACCAGGCCCACCCAAATAAAAGTATCCTGCCATTAAGTGATTATAGGCTTCCACGAGGTAACCCGCTAAGGATAGCACACCAGAGACCAAAGACTCGAGTGTGATCACATTTCTTTTCGCTTCGTGTTTGCCGTCTCTGGAACGCCTTACCGGCGGCCGTGACTACAGCACCATCTATGGAGATTTTTAAGCGGAAGCTAGACAATCATGCAGAAATGAAAGGTTCGTGTCTCAATGCTTATCCTCATAAAACTTAAAACCACACTGTCAATGGATAAGCGTACAAACTAAATCCCCACGACCTGTTCTGCCTTCTCTCACTGTACCGACCACTCTATATTTTCCTTAGGTCACCTTTATTATTTCACTTATCTCAACCCATATTATCTACAATACAATCTATTATTATTACTATTCTGCTTTTATGACTACACCGAATGACCATTGGCAGTTAGGTCAAACTCCATCCACGGCAGGAATACAGTCCTAACATACTGCATACTACAAACCACATCTTGACCAATCCCCGCACCACTCCTCTTGGAGTTTACCAGAGCTAAAGCAGTCGAGTGGCGGGACTCACTACGCAGAAGCTCACCGAAGATCTGGAACCTCTACCTCACAACCAAGAAGAGAGCTCAAAGAAATCACTGGTTTATACTAGCTCGTAATCAGGATATTGGATATTGGATGTTTTGACCTTGGTGGTTAATTGTCATTTTCGAAATCTAGCTTTAGATTCTGTGTATAGGTGGTTTGATGGTTGTTCGCATATTGGCTTAATGTCATGAGCCCACAGTAGGTTGTCGTTAATTCGCCAGAGTAGTATGTATTCATGTTTTGGCATCCATAACTTATAAATCGTCTTGAGTATTCACTTTTTTATCATCATGGACACAGCAGTGTCCAAGAATTCACGCTTTAAGTAGTACTTAACACGTATACTGCACAGTATACTTCCAATCGGGCGATAAGGCGCAAAAGAGCGTTGAAAAGGCGGACAAAAGTGGGAAGCTCAAGTCGACATTACACGATGTCATTGGGAAAAATAATAATATATACTAATTCAAAGAGGGGAAAACAAAAAACTGTTTTCAAAAGTGAAAGTTCGATTTAACAGCCACTGAAGATTTTGCAGAGTGAAGTAACTGACGTCATCTGCAAACCCTAGATCTTAGGTATCATTTGGCCTAAATAATCATTTAGGCCAAATGATACTTTTAAAATCAATTCGAATTGATTTTAAAAGTGCGTAGTATACCATCTGTACTTTTGTTTGAAAAAGTATTCGTTTTACTTAGGTGGAAAGTCATAGGAATAAATGTGCAACGTTTATCTTCTGTGATTAGTTTGAATTTATAGTAGAGTTTTTTCGTGTAATTATGAGTCATACATTTATTTCTCTTGAGTCGCTGTGTGCATAATTTACATTGACAGTATTTTCGTAACGTCACCAAATTGTGGTTAACTTCAGTCGCATGTCATGTGAATTTATCGAAATGCCCATTAGCTACTCAATGGATTGGTTTCCTAAACCATACGGTGCCGTCTACTACAGTATTTTGAGTAGGCTGTAGCCATATATATATATATATATATATATATATATATATATATATATTCTTGAGATTGTGCGATGTGTGCATAGCTTATATTTTTCTTGGAAATATGCAAGAAACGGAATTGATTCTTTCTGGAAATTTGTCATTTTCAAGTCCAGAAAACACTTATGAATCTCTTAGTGGCTTGCGAATTCTATAATATGAAATAATACGTTGCTTTGCCTTTGGAAAACTTGCGTAGACTCTGATAATGTATAAATCTGTACACATGGAGATCTGAAATTTAATGAACATAAACAACAAGTAGGTGTAAAATCCTTACGTATCCAACATTTTAGGGGAACAAGAGGTATATATTACAGGAGATGTTAACTAAACAATAATCTACGTATGTCAATGTTAGTCAATGGAAAACGGCGTGGCATCGTATAGAGTATACAGTAAAAAAGTAGTGGCTCCGAAGACTACTAAATGCTTGTGGATTTTCAAGGCTTGACCATACCTCTTTGATTTCATCAGATTCAAAAGATTATAACTGGTGACAGCCGCTTTAACGTCACACAAATAAATGTCTGCGGGACGACTAAGAACATGGATGGGTGTCGAAAGTAGGAGGAACAGATAGGACATATATATATATATATATATATATGTAATATTGGTCTTCAACTGTTTAGTCTCCAACCGTACACTCGGTTTCCAGGAAAGTCAAAGTAAGTTAAATAACTCCTCAAAAATGTGAGACTTTAATGAATCAAAAAAGACGTCTGAGATTGTGAGTAAAACACTTTGATGAAAAGTTCACTTTTTCAAAGAGACCCTACGATTACTCCCCATTCTATGTCAGTCTAACTGGTTCCCCAACTTCGGCGGAGATTTCAAAAAAGGTTTCTAATCTAAAAGTAGATTTAAAAGAATGACTCGCTGGTTCGAGTACACCAATTTTCAGGGGTAACACTTCATCTAGAAAGTCAGTGTCAGTGTTTTTCAAACCTTTCATTTTGGGTGTACCTATGGACATCACTCCAATTCGACTTCTCAGAAACCGACTTGGCACCAGGATGAGTTTTTTCCGAAATAGAATATGTAGGAGAGGTGAGGATTCTGAGAAACTCAGCGCCCTTAATATCTTGAGAAGAAAAATCAGAATATGCCTAGCATACTGTTTGCACAGATAAAAAGCGCTTATTTAATATTTGCCAACTTGCATCAACTTTGGCAGATAGTGCGTATGGTGTGCAGCTCACTTCGCTCATCTCTGCTACCATGAGGTATGGCAGCCGAAAACAGAAGAAATGAAATGGTTGGAGATTTTGACTGCGGATGTGATCATTCCACTATTCACATTAAATAAAAACATGGCAGCAACGTTTGACGTAAGGTTCAAAGTAAAGGAGGAAAGTCATTTCATTTGATCGTGAAGTTTGCTGGATTAAATTGAATGTGGTATGCATTTGCCATATCAAGTCATTGTTTTCATTAACGATCAATGCTAGTGGAAGTAGATTTAGGTTGCATGACTGCTAAGTCTAGCTAGACCAAAGCTATATTAGGAGTTGAAGACTACCTGGCTGGTTAGAACCAGAGGTTGAAGACTGTTTTCTTGATATAGTATAAAGTCGTTCACAATTGGATAGTGTGTTTACTCATTTTGTCCCTCATCATCCAAGGTCTAAAATATTGAGTAATCTTCAATTAATTATTCCGTTTCCTGTATATCTTAGTCAATTGTGGCTTCTCCACTTTCATACCGATACTCCGCGATTTTATGAAATTATTTTTTGACTGGAATTATGTCTGTTTATATGCATTTAGGAGGAGGCAGTTAAATACTTATAGACGTAGAAACACCCATATTTCAACGTCATTGTCCGTAAATATTACTTTATTATTATTATTGTTCCATTGGGTTTCTAGCGGAACATCGGGCTTCAACTCCACGTCTCCACTTGCCACTTCTGTCCTTCTTCCGCTGTACTTTTCACCTGCATCCATGTTAGTTCATACTGTTTCAACTCCTCTTCACACGATCTCCTCCATGTCACCACCCTTGCACTGACGTCCTACTCGCCACTTCCCTTTCGGCCTGGTTTCACTCGAGCAATGACCTGACGCGCGCGCGATGTCACCCAGCGATTTCCTCAGCGAGTGCCCAATCCATCCCCACTTTCTCCTGCATATTTGTTGGTTGGCGATTGGTTCTTGTTTTGTGTGTCTGTTTCCATAGTTTCTCAATGGTGATTCTTTCCGACCCGGCCATCTAATCTTAAGTATAGAGCCAGCAAAGACAGTTGTTGGTTGATAAAGGTCTGCAACAGGCTGTTGGAAATATTCTTTGTGACTCGCCCGCCAAGTTTCTGATCCGTATAGAAGAACTGACTGACTTGACCTTTGTATTGAAAATCCGACTGGATTTTGTTGTTGGTGCTGAGTGAGGTTATCATAAATATAATTATTTAGTGTAATTTAAGTAATTTTATGGAGGACGATAAACTTTTTGAGTTATTTCTGACTTGTGTTTGCACTGAATCCTAACTAACTAGCTAACTACGTTTTGAGGTGTCTGGTGTCCGTTTCCACTCCAAAAGGCACAAACACTATCTGTTTTATAGGGAAACATTCCACTTATGCAAGCCTGCCCACTTTTCCTGTCATTATTTGGAACAAGTATTATACTCATAAGGCTAAAGCCAAGACTTTTTGGTGATAGTGTAACTTTCATTTGACAAACGATTCCGGACTTCAGTTAGCAAAACCGAAGTCTTGGGAACTGTTTTATGCACCGTAGGATACCACTGTTGTTTATTCAAGATTTGAAAGTACTTGAAATGCTTTATGAATTCAATTGTTTTTTATTTGTAGTAGCCATACTTTATTTCGATTGGTCATTTCATCATAAATGTTTTTTTATTGTAAATGTACAATAAATAATGATTTTATCTCCAAACTAATTGTTTTTCAGCCTGAACAGACTCAGTGCAAACGCCATACCGGGACTGACAGTGAATTTTCAACTCTTCACTTTATACGCTCTTTGAATTTGTACAGACGACTAAATAAATAGCCAAATGCTTTACCAATAACTGAATTCATCATTTTGTCTCCAGATTGACAGTCGATTTCTCTGCATAACTCAAATATTTCATGTTCCCGTAATATATTTGGGATATGTTCTGTTTTATATCTGTTTTGAGAGTTTCAACATAAGTATACTGCCTTGGAGTACACGAAATGCTGTGATGGGTTCATTCTAATATTGATGCAGCAAAATAAAGTGAATTTATTACAACTGTTTTTAAAAAAATGTTAGCAAAATATCTTATTTTCTTCGTAACTGTCTGAAACACCAAACAAACAGCCAAGTAATGACTTCCAGTAACCAAATGCATGAGAAAATAAATACTTCTACAAAAGTATTATGTTCAAGTAACTGCAAATGTCAATACTGTCCTGTAGAAAAAAGTGAAGCCTGTAGAATTTACGAAACACTGGCGAAACTACCAACTGATCGAGTGCAAATCTCATTCGGAAAAATCGCAAAGTTTAATCAGTTGTTAAATAAAGCAATAGTCAATGACTTAAGTTCAGAATCAAAACCAGAAAATTCAAAAATTTCGAATGAATGCAAAGATGACTGTTGTACTTCATTCTACATAGTTGCCAGAAATAGTGATCTGCAAGGAAAATTTTTAAATACTCACTTGTCAACCCTTTGCGATGAAGCCGATTTTATCAGAGTTAGTGAGTGCAAGTATTCTCCCGAGGTTAAACTTTCAGAAACAGTCAAATCAAATATGTCAGAGAATTCTTTAAATGCGACTGATAAATGCGGTGGTACAAACTACTCTACAGATTTCAGGTAAGCTGTTATTTTAAAGATAAGATTTTAGATGATATATTCATTTAACAAAGTTTCTGACCACGTATTTTCCCAATAAGTTACTTGAAAACCATTTTTGGCTTATAAGTTATTTTTGTCCCTATTTAAGGAAGAAATAGTGAAATGAGTATCTGAGGTCAACAGCAAAATTTTCCTGAGGAGACCTGGCAAAATACACCTGTAAACGCTGTTAATAATATAAAACCAAAAGTTAGTAATAGTTAGTGGATTTCTACTACCTCATACGAGCTGACATACGCAATAAGACTGATTCCGGAGAGTTCTGAATATGAAACCATGGAGTCAGCCAGGTAAGAGCTTACGGCGAGCTGTTGTCTGAAGTTCTGACGACTAGTGGTGTCCATCAGGGATGCCCACTGTCCCCATTTCTATTAAAATTCATCATAGATGTACTAATGGAATTAACCTTAACTTACTTCAGCGACTCAAGGGTTGACTTGTCTGTTATCAGGGAATAATCTTGTTGAATTAGAATATGCAGATGATATAGTCCTTCTAGGTAAGGACGCTGACATAATGCAGTCTTCCAAGCACTTTGAGCAGGAATATTTGAATGTTCGGCATGCGATTCGCTCCGGCCAAATGTTAGATGATGCTACAGGACTGGACTATACTGATGCCTAGCTTGAAGATAGACAAGAGTGAAGAAATAGTGCGCGTTGACCACTTCATTATTTGGGATGTTGCATCAGACCCAACGGGTTGATCGCCGACGAAATCTCGGCACGAACACAGAGAGCTAGTCTGGCATATGCCAGTTTACGCCGTCTCTGGCGTAGACGTGATAGCCGGCTATCGACCAAAGGGTGTGTGTACTGCTCAGCAGTCCGCTGCTCCGTTCTCCTTTATGGCTAGCTGTGAGACCTGACCGTTGAAAGTGGAAGACATGAAAAGACTAGCTGTGTTTGATCATAAGTGTCTGCATTCTATCTCCTGTGTTAGGTGGTATAATAGGGTGAGTAATATTGGGTTGGTTAGGCGTCGAGTGCTAGGTAAGGAGGGGAAATCAATCGACGAGGCTGTGAAACTACATTGATTGAGATGGTTAGGACATGTGTTACGTATGCCTAGCCATCGCCTTCCTCGACGGGCAATGTTAGCTGACAAAGGATAGGGCTGGAAAAGAACCAGTGGTGGTCAAACCAAAACATGGTTTCGTTAGTCAATGAAATCCACAACAGTTAGTATAAGTCACATGGGAAGGTGTAGACTTCCTGGTTGGGGTCCTCGGGACAGTAAAAACCAATGGTTGGAAACAATTGGTGATATGGCTCAAAATCGTTCTCAATGACAGCGCAGATTTATCCACTCCTTGAGATTTATAGTACCCAATAAAACTATATTGTTCTTCAATATTACTGTTTTTTTTTTGCTTCATCTCTGCTTACTGCCTCTATTTGCATTTACTTTTACTCTCTTCTCTTGCTTCGTGTGCTACATTTAGGGATAGTGGTCACCAAAACTGCTGCACATCTGTGTAAAGTTCTACGTTGAAACCAGTCAGTCATAAACCATTTTTAGCCCAAATGGCGACGAACTTTTTATAGAAATTAATAAATGAGAAACTTAAATTTAAGTTCCTATGGCCAGATTCCTAGAAGAAGAAGTAAGTTGTATCTACCCATCACTATTGAATTCAGTATGAAGTCGCCGTTACAGAGGATACGGAAAGTACAAAGTCGGGCATTGAGACCTGAAAATAATATAGAAGATAAGCAGTATATCGTCAAAGCCTCTGTACTAGGTGCTGACATGACAGCACAGACTAAGTATTTCGAACCAATGTAAATCAATCTACTGAAAGCACAAAATAACTTCAACAAATAAAGCGTGTACTTGCTAAAGTCTGAAGAGGCCTTTATATTTGTGGCTTGATAAGTCTAGTTGTAGTTAAAAACGATTAGAGTAATATCAGTCGGAGTTGTATATTTTTTAGATTTCCCATAATCAAATACAAGTCTAGTTCATGGAGCACACAGCAACTTATTCTATCTTGCTGGCATTAAATACTGAACTTCATACGGAATTTAATCGGGAGAGCAGTAAAATTGTATAGAGAACTCTTTTTCTTCTTTCATACGTGGAATTAGATGAATGTAAACAATATATCTGAATGCTGATTTTACTGATAAAGCTAGTAAGGATAGTGATATTAATGATGTCATGTTAATCGAGAGTTGCTCAAAAATGAATCGCATACAAGGGAAGTATTATTATTATTATCTATTTTATTCCTTTACGTTCCCAGCGGAACATACAGTTTCAAGCTACAGCTCTGAAGTTTCGGTAGTAGTTGTATTTATTTATTTTTTACGGGATGGGGTTGCTGGCCTTATGCCCTACCTTCCCTCTTTACTAGTCTTATCACTGGCTTAGTGAGGTGTAGGAGTTCGTCCGTGGCCGGAGATCGAACCCCGAACCACATGAGGCGTAGTTGGCGAGCATCCTACCTCTGTGTCACCTACGCACATGAAGTATAGTTCTATACTATTTAATCTTTCCAAAAAGTTGTAATAGAAGTAACTAATGCTGATTTTTGAATTATGCTCTCAACGGCATTCTACAGTTTAAGAAAAATGACTTTAATCATATTCTGTTGTGAAAAATCCTTTTCCTTTAGCATAAATATGCGTGGGTACATGAATTGTAAAGTAGTGTATATGTCACAGGATATCCATTATACGAGGGTTAAAAACTGTAATTATTCAAATTTCTGTAGAAAAAAATGTATTTTTGAATTGAACAATATTTTGTAATTTTATGTTAAAACAAGCGTAAAGAATAAATGTTTGAGAATATTGTTTCACGGATTGATATCAGTTAGAGAACCATTGAAAACCAGGGAGTACTGGACAGCTGCTGTTTCATCCTAGTTTAGGAATCATCGTCAGTACGCACCCACCACAAGGAGTTCGAACCCAGGACCTTCCAGTTACAAGGCCACCGAGCTCGTATACCATTTAGCCACTGGGACCCGATTCAGTGGCCGGCCCATGAATTCTAACTTCTACCAATTCGTGACTTAGCGCAACCCCAACCATTGTCGTTGGTGGGACATCCAGTACTCCATGCTGGTTTCCAATGGTTCTCTAACTGATATCAATCCGTGATCAACTCGTAAAAACACAACTAACCCTTACAAACCAAACTATAGAAAATATTATTTCATTGATAATAATGTTCTCTCCTCTTCGCTTCTTTCTCATCAGAAATCCAATCTCATGTACAGATCTGCATCATTTAAATCCATCTGATACCTATAATGGTATACCTGCAGAGTTTAACAATAAACAACACTATTTATCCTCTGTAAATACTTACTCATCTCCTTCACCATTACTGAACTATAAAATTCGTAAATGCCTGTGTCAAAATTGTCAACAATCAAATAGAAATAATAATAATAATATCTATCCAAATAAATATGTAAATACTAGTGTAAATGAATCCTATTCTAATCAACATTTATCAGAGCCAAAAGCCAATGATAGTCGTTTAAGTCATTTTTTGATTAAAATGAAAAGATTATTACGCAAAATGTCAACAATTGATGTCTCTGGAGTGAAAAAACAAACTGAACATCATTGCGCTGCTAACAAAAATTCTATGTCAGTTGTTGTTCAAAAGAAAGAACAACAAGAAGACGAAGTAGAAGTAGAAGACAAAGACGGAATTAATGGAAGAAAATTTATTTGCAAATCACAAATGTTATGCAGTGAATTCTCATTTCCTTGTCAGCCTGGAAAATGCTGTACTATCAAATCATCTAGTAATTGTTATCAATTTGAAAAACCTTATACTGTATATCTTATTACTCATGCCTCCTCGCCTGGAGTATTGATAAAGTCATCATCAAAAATGAAGGAATAAAAGGAAAATGGAAAATCAACTTGAAAGAGAGAGTTTATTTTTCATAAATAAATTGTATTACTTTCAATTAATGTTGTATGGATCTATTTGTCCGTGTGGAATTGAGTAAATGCAATTTTTCGTAAGTCAAGGTTTTATGTTGAGTTGTTTTTTCTTTATATCAGTCTTTCCGACTTATGTTATTCCTGGTGTACACATAAGATATCTGACTATCGATCAAAAGACACGTTTACGGTTCAGTAGCTGTCTGTGTCCACCTTTATGGCCGTAAGACATAACCACTGAAAGACGGGGATATGAAAAGACCAGCTGTCATTGACCATAGATGTTCACCTTTTATCCCCTGTGTTAAGTGAGATAATATCTTGAGTAATGCTCAGATTTGGTGTAGCGTTATATAAGAAGAGTAAGGGAAACTGTGAAGTAGGTGAATCGATCAAGATGGTTTGGATACGTATTGCACATTCAAAGCCACCGAATTCCTCAACGAGTAATGTTAGCTGACATTGGATTAGGTTGGAAAATGCCTAGAAGTGGTTAAACCAAAAATTGCTACCAATCTATGGAAACTTTAACAGCTGGTTTGAACCATATAAGGAGGTGTAGGCTCCCTAACTGCCATTATAAGAATCCATGATCACCGAAGATTATTGGTGATATGGCTCAAAATCATTATCAGTAGCGGAGATGTATTCACTATTTGACATCTCACATATCCACTAAACCGTCATATTTTTTCGTGTTACTGTACTTTCTGCCAAAAACATTTCTGCTTACTATAATCCTTTTTAAATCTCTTTTCTGCTTTTTGTTTAACTTTGTGTGCTACATGGAATGTGGTAACTTGGGTTGCTGTACTTCAATGCATAATTTTATGTTGAAACTCAGTTAGCCTGATATATTTTTCCCCCTTTCTCTTCAAGAAATCAATAGGAGTAGGTTGAACCCTATTTGAAAATAAGCGTGAGTACAAATCGCGATTCAGAGTTGTAATTGGTTAGCTGAAGCAACGCGAAACAGAGTAAATAAGACATATACATTTTGATGGGTGAAAAATTCAGTAGCCCAGTGATTTAAGTAGACCGCCAGATCTATGCATGTATGAATTATCTGCACATCTTTTGATTAAAACTTTCGGAAAATAAGTTTTATTTTCTCAAATTCCCTCTCACTGGGTATTTTTAGGTGTGACGTAGATGTATGTATATGTGGTTTTTATCACCTATAGATATGCTGACCAAGGTATATTTTTTTTTATTTTATTTTTTATTACAGCTTGATTCCACACTGTATTTTTGGTACAAGTATGGAATTTTCAGCCTGTGATATCGGTAGCCCAAATTTCGCAGGCCGACCATAGATATCAGGTGTGCGTCGGCGTGGGCTCGAACCCCGGACCATGTGCATGGTCGGCGAGAGTCCTAACCACTGTGCCACCGACGCACATTTAGGCTGAAAAGGAGGGGAGAGTTTCTCTGTCATTTTTTTAAGACTCATTGTCAGAACATGCTAAAATGCCTGAATGATTTTCAGACTTGGACATATAAATTGTCTCACAAATAGTGTTCTCAGCCGACCCTTTACAGCTACAATGTTTTTTTATTATCCTGTTAAGTATAGCGAACAGTATCTTCAGTGTGTCTTCAGCTTGGTGAGTGTATAGATAACAGATTGCCTTTGTAAAATTGAGAAATTCATCAACTAGCAGTAAAAGTGGCAACTCAACATATATAACAAATGTCACTTCATTAAGAGTGACATCAGTGGATTAAACAGCTGGGACAGGCAAAACAGAACTGTCGAAAAGTTGGAGGAGGACTGGTAATAAATTAATGGTAACGTTTAAAAGGATTAGAAATGTAATATATTATTCCAAACAAAATAACTGGTAAATTGATGAATGGTGACTAGCAGTCCGATCCGGGATGCGCGTTTCGTCGTATTTTTGACTCGTCAATTAGACATACTTGCATTCTCTAGTGACGAGTCCAAAACATAACGAAATGTGCATCCTAGACTCCACTGGTAGTCATCATCTACCAATTCGCGTCAAGTTAAATAATCAGACATCGTTGAAGCATCCGCACAAGGAGCCTACATGTCAGCCTGACGCTGTTCACTTCTGTCAGTCAGTGTCCAAATTGAATTAAAATGGTTAATAGTCTTTTAATAACAATCTGTATCTACAACATCCTAAGCGCTAGTTGAAAGACTTAAGAGTTAATAATAATGATACCGATAACAAATCTAGTAAAAATGATGAAATTTTGATTTAATTACGTCATTTTGAATGAAGCAGGAAGAAACTACAAAAAAATTCTGATAAGTATATTAAACTAAAGAATCAGTGAGGCGTTAAGTACTTATGGCTCCATTTTAGCATTGTTCAATGAATGCATAGTTGAAAAAGTATTTAATTAGTCAAATATGTTAAGAAGCTTTTGTTAAATAGTTTCCAATTTTTATTTAGTTACTCAGGTTGAAATATTCAGTAGCCTACCTCTGTGCAGTAGATTAGTTCAGTTAAAAAAACGTTATCATTAAATGGAGCATTCAGATGACTAGATAGAACACACTGTATTGAACTGACGAAACAAAATCTCTTTGGAATGACTTCTGGTAATCAAACTGTGTGACATACATAAAAGAGAGATTGGTCATTTGTTGTCTTATCTATGTGTATTAGTGTAATCACTTATTCTATGAAGTTTTTAAAATAAGCAGTTGAGGGAGTGTCAGCATAGGAGGCGGTTTTCTATAGTAAGAATGTATTACCTGTCACTCGGGATTTAATACGCAGACTAAATGAATTCAATTAGTATTCCTTACTTTCCTGATAACTTTATTCAAAAAAACTTTATCTTTCCCTGTTGCTTTACGCACTCCTTGAGTGAATTTCTCAATATTATTATTCTGAGTTTCATTTCAATGTTATTTCTCTGCGAGTGATCAACAGACTAGTAAACACTTTCTTTTGGAATATTTAGTCGTATATGTTTGCATTACACTGAGCAATGAATTTCCAACGAATACTGTAAGTCAATACGAATCAGTTTAGATGTCAAAGTGTAACTCATTAAAATTCACTAGGTTTTCTAATCATTTCACTATCGCGTGACTAGCACTGAGTTTCAAAACAGAACTTTACACTGAAGTACAGCCGCTCAAGTTGCCACACTCCATATAGCACACATAGTCAGACAAAGGGGGAGGAAAAGAGACTCAAAATAACTACGCTGAGCAGAAATGTGAGGGAGACAGTAAAGTAAGATAAAAATATAACGGTTTAGCGGATATGGGAGATGTCAAAGAGTGAATACATCACCGCTACTGATAACGATTTTGAGCCATATCATCAATAATCTTCGGTGATCATGATTCTTATAATGGCAGTTAGGCAGCCTACATCTCCTTATGTAGTTCAAACCAGCTGTTTGAATTTCCATGGATTGGTAGCAATTTTTGGTTTAACCTCTTCTAGGTCAGAAGAGCATATCTATGATTTTCTGAACATGTACCAAAACGCTTACGTCTAAAGGGAACTAATGCTGTAAACAGTGCCATTGCTGGGCATCTGCTCGACACGAATCATGACGTGGAAATCGAGAAATCCTTTAAAATTATCAATAGACGAAGGAGCTCCATTCTTCTCAAGTTTTCCGAAGCAATTTCTATCAAACGCTTCAAACCACATTTATGTGTTCGGGAAAAAGCAGTTATTAGTCTTTCCTTGCCCTGGTAACTGGATATCTTTATTCTCTCATCTGATTACGTAATCTTTGTCTTTAACTTCACCCCTCTTTTTTATAATCTGTAATTTTGCTTGCCTCTTGTTTCTATGATTTGAGTTGAACTCACTACATTGTTACTTAATTTATTAGTCACGCTGCATCTAACGCATATCTTGGCTTTATTACGTAACTCCCTTACCATTGTATGCAAACACTTATTTTGACTTGAACCGCCTGTGTAAAAACTATATAAGCGCAATTTTCTGAGCACTGTTCACTAATTGTGGAACTTTATGTCAACTGATAACATGTAAAATTTGCAAGTATGTTAAAACTTTTCTGTATGTAAACCTCATAATTTATTTGGGCTGTAAGCAGAAGCTGATGAGAAGCCAACGAAATGGATGATGGTACCATTTTATTCTGCACAAACCACTGTTGTTCTTGCTTTATTCGAGATATGGCATATCTCAAAGTGTGAATGAATCTGTGCTGTTACGAAAGATATTGAGTCATACCAATAGTCAATAGTCCCCGGTTATTGGATCTTAACATCCCACCGACCATAACCAAACAGCCTACGTGGCTCCAACCAACTGTCAAAGTTTTCATGGACTGTTTTCAGATTTTGTTTTGACCATCTCTGTTTTACAATCTAACTGTATGTCGGCTAATATGTTCTGCCTCAGAAGGCAGTGACCCGGTGTGTACAACACATGTCCTAACCACCTTGATCGATTCATCTTTAGAACCACATCGATCGGTTGATAATCTTTATCCAACACTATGGCAAATCTGAGTATTACTCACCATATTATACCACTTAACACGGGAGGAGGAATTCAAGCATCTTTGATCAAAGACAGCTAGTCTTTTCGTATCCTCCACTTTCAGTGGCTATGTCTCATAACTATAATAAACGGGAAATACAGTGAACTGCTGCTCAGTACATTTTACCTCTGATTGACAGTCGGATGTCCTGTGTAAGTGTTAGTAAATGTCACGTAAGCTTTTTGTATCTGTACGGAGATTTCGTCAGCAACTAGTCCATCGAGGCTAGTGCAACTTGCCAAATAAGTGGAGTTGTCAACGCACTCAATCACTTCACCGTGTATTCAGACCAGTCCTGCAGTATGATCTTGCATTTTTCAGGAGAAAATCGCATACCAAACATTCTAAAATTTCTGCTCAAGGCGTTCACAAGACTCTGCATTTTAAGAATATCTTCATCCGGGTGGACAATATCATCTGCATATTCTAACCCAGCAA